GGACATCCGGCGACACCTGGTGTCCGGTCAGCTCATCCATCAGCGCACCGACATCCGGCCGGCCGTCATCCTGGGCCTGAGGAAAGGGCGGGTAGTCCGCGCCGCTGGGGCGGTGGAGGCCGGGCTGTTGGGACGTTACGAGGTCAGAGAGGTGAGGGGAGGGCAGGTCAAGGTCAAGCCTCAGTGGAAGGCCAAGGTCAGGGGGAGACGAGCGGGGGCAACCTGCAGGAGCAGGGACCCGCGGAGCAAGAGGAAATAGACCTCTACTTGAAGTAAGAAATACTCGTCGTATTGATTCAAGCGCCGTGTTCACCTGAATTGGCATGTCCAGTAACCTACCGTCATCTTTCTCTTTCTAACATTCAGAAACATCAGGTTTTTGAGGTGCAGAAATATTGATTTATTGAAATTTGGAGTAAACGACATGTGTAATAATAAATGAATACCAAAGGAATCATTTTCAATTGTCATTTAGTGATAATATTATTATATTATAGTCACTGTACATGTATCTTTGTGTGTGTGAGTGTGCGTGCGTGCATGTGTGTGTGTGTGCGTGCGTGCATGTGTGTGTGTGTGTGAGTGTGTGTGTGTGTTGGAGTGAGGGGCAAATTGTATGTATGTGTGTATGTGTGTATGTGTGTCTCTGTATGTGTGTTTATGTTTGTGTGAGTGTGTGTGTGAGAGAGAGAGAGAGATAGAGTTTGGTTGTTGGAGGGGGGGGGGGGGGGTTTGCAAAAATACCCTGTGCCTGCTTCTCTGGTAGGAAAAAAAGTTCAACTTGAGTTCAAGGCCTTGTTAAACACAGAACATGAAAATCTTATGGTGAGGTAAATTGTAACCTCACCAAAAATTGCATGAGATATAAAAGAACGAGGAATCTAGAAGAAATCAATTCAGAAAGGAACAAACATCAAACAGGCAACCCCTCCTCCCAACCCCCCCCCCCAACCCAAATAAATAGGAAACTTAAATTAAAATAAATTTATGAGGTAAGATACAGGATAATTTACAAAGTCAACATCCTTCTAAGACAAGGTTAAAGAAGCTTTTAAATTACTGGGGATTCAAGTAAGGGCCATCTGCACCACAGTCCAGTATGGTATCAACTGAGCTAACATTAATTAAACACTAGACTAACGCTACTGCACTCAACAAAACAGGAGGAAAAATGAGAACAACAATATAAATGAAAGTTGTAGGAATTAAATTAATTTATTCAACCTTTTTTTAGAATATTCCCTCAATATAAACAAATCGGACGTCTTGCATCGTGGACCACCTAGACAGCATCAGTAATCAGTAACAGTACCACCATACCACACACCAGGCGTAAACACCCACACAAATCCTTCAGTCATCATCAAACATTCTGAAAAAGTGGCCATTTTTTTCCTATACCCATTTCACCCGCTCAGAGTAAGAAGACAGTCACGGGCCTACTGTCTGTCTATACATACATGTTGCTGTTGCACATGTCTGTCATATCCAGGCCAGTCCATATTTTCATGTTGTCCATCCATGTTGTTCTTTGTCTTTCCCTGGCTCTTCTGCTCCACATCCTTCCTTCAAGCACCTCTTTCACAATGGTTTTGTGTTGTTTTTTTAAGTGGCCATAGTATTGTATTTTCCTAAATGTTATTTTATTTAGCGGGGCTCGTCTCCCGTCATACACCATTTTGAAAAGTGACCTATGACAGTCTTACACTACTGAGCAGTCGATTTATGTTCATAGCTACTTTCGACTTGCCGAATAAATGATGACTGAAGGATTTGTCAGATCACTCAATCAAACAGCTTGTACGATAACACAATCATATTCATATATATATATAAGCCAGTCATCACATGGACAGAAAACAAGTGCAAAATCTCTATCATACATATGTATTTACATACAAACTAGTAATACCAGTACATTTTTATCGTAAATGCTCATTACAATTACAGATTTAAAAGTGAAAGAGAAACCCACTCAGAAAATATCCACAGGGAGGGGATGTAGAAAAAACGTAACCCTTTAACCCTATCCGTGCGTCGTGTTTTGCTATCGTATCCATACACCGTGGGGAACTCTGTGCCACCACTTTCCAAAGAGGAAATTTACTCGTTAATCCAATCCATATGCTTTGCATAGCAGTCTGTCAAAATGATTTTTGAGAAATACTGAAAGTTTCAAAGACATCTTCGTACTAGAAGTATTCTAAAATGTGAAGAATACAACCCTGGGGGTACAAAATGACCCAAGGGTGTACAAATAGGGTTAATTAAGCTCTGGTTCCCTGAGCCTACAGCGGAAACCCAGAGAGACAAATAAATACATTTTAGCAAAAGTAAGAAGCCCGGAATGAGACGTGCGTTTCTTTCCATCGGCTTAACATGATTGAGAAAAGCAGGAAAGTTGATATCATGTAGGAATGTGGAGACAGCACAAATGGAAACAGACCAATAAAAGAATGTTCGCACCTGCAGAACAGTAACTTGTAACTGAGTAAGAGACGAAGCCAAATAAGAGAGGGTGAATGATCCACGAAAGTTCTCATTATGACAAGACGTTAGTGCACAGGTAAAAAAAAAAAGGTTTTAGTTTTCGTCTTAGTAAAAGTTTTACGGCACTTGCAACAAAAATTGGTCATATAAATGCTGAAGATTAGAGGGGTTACTAGAAGTAACATACAAAGAAAAGAAGGAGAGATAAGAATTATTGATGTTGGATAAGAAAGAAGGAGCGAAGTACACCACAGCACCTGCCAACCACCCATTTTATCATAGGCATGATGTAAGTGCAAAGGTCAAGATAAAAACAGTTACCCACCATTACAAGACAAGAACTCAAGAACATACTACATCTCTCGACATTCCACTGTTGTAAAAGAAAAAAGAACAGCAGCCAAAAATTAAGGAAAAAAAACAAAAATTTTTTTTTGCTATAGAAGAAGAGCAACTCAACTGCTAGAGCAAAGGAAAAACAGCAAAACTTCATGACATTCCAGGAAATGTAGGCCTCATGTTGTCACACAAGTTTATAGTAACAAACGCTCACACAGATCCAGCAGAGAGGAATGACTCAAACTGTAAACCAATTGGTCGCAAAGAGGTCAGTGTTGTTAATATTGTGAATACCTACAGTCTCATCCCATTGCCTGACCCTGTATAGCAGTATCATCACCTCATCAAACATACAGACTTCCATCACGAAGTGTACGAAAAGTAGTGTGAGAAACAGTGTATTGTAACGCCTCTAGCAACACTGTAAGGTTATTTCCAAGAGGCTGAACCTCTGAATTCAGTATCCATCTCCGACATTCACACGCACACACACACTCCCATTATATACGTCCTGTGTGTGTGTGTGTGGGTGTTTGTGTTTGTGTGTGGGTGGGTGGGTGTTTGTGCGTGTCTGTGTCTGTGTGAGTGAGTGTGTGTGAGAGTAAGATAATGAGCTAAATGAGAAATTTTGTGTAGAGTCCTTTTCCTCAAGGACCCAACATTGAACCGAGCCGAACTTCCTGTACCTGAACTTGCAACCTCATGATGATTCCGAGTCCGGTACCCTCACCACAAGACTACCAATGACATATCCATGCACTGTGAAGAATCTCAAAAGTTCAAATCAACAAAGTAATGAAAAATGACAAAAAACACAATATCTCAGAAGTTGAAAGCCCACAAAAAACCCTTAGAAAAAACAATCCTATCAGTTGTATTCTTGTCCGTGGCAACAAAAAACACACAACACAGAAAATCTCATTACACAGGCTTTCATCTCGTACAACATGAGTAACTTACATTAAAATGAAACACAAAGCACTAGGAATAATATGTAAAGCTTTTGAAAATAAAAAATAAAATTCTCATTACATAACACTCATGCATGAGTGTGCAATATATGTCTGACACTTCCTCTTCCACTCTCTCATTATACATTTGAATTTACAACTAACTGGTTACTGCCCACCCCCCAAAAAACAAAAAAAACACAAAAAACCCCCCCCCCCCCCCCGCAAAAACCCCTAAAACAAAACCCTCCCCCGAATATAAAAAAAAAAAATCAGTTGCCACTCAACAGTGCAATAACACTGATGCCACTTGCACAAATGTGTGTGTACATATGATACATACACATTATCGTACATAATAAACACACACTCATTTGTACATGAATCACATAGGCCTACACAACCATAAACAAAACATAATGTGTTAAATTGCTCATATATCATGTACATAATCTTGAACATATACACAGGTGTCTGTGCAGACACCTACATAAATACGAGCCAGATAAATAAATTAATATCCCGTCAAAGACGGTTGCAGTACACTTCTGCCGAACAGGCAGACGTGTGCTGCAGCCGGATTTGACACTATACGGGGAAAGGATTCCCGTCCAGGACCAAGCTCGTTTCCTCGGCGTCATTTTCGACAAAAAAACTTACATTCATACCACACATCAAAGACCTTCGTGTGAGGTGCCAGAAAGCGTTAAACGCTTTGAAAATTCTATCAAATCCGGAGTGGGGCGGGGACTCAAAACACCTTCTCCACTTGTACATCTCCCTTGTCCGGTCCAGGCTTGACTACGGCTGTCAAGTCTACGGATCGGCAAAACCACACGTCTTAAAAATACTAGATCCAATACAAAACCAAGGACTCCGCCTCGCTCTGGGGGCTTTCGCACTTCTCCGGTGGAGAGCCTCCAGGCCGAGGCCAACATACCACCACTCTCACTCAGACGCACACAACTCTCACTACAATACGCAGTTAAACAGAGCTCAACACCGGAAAATCCAGCGCACAACAGCATTTTTCAAACAAATCCAGAAACCAGAAACAGATTCCAAAACAACGAAAAACTCATCAAACCTTTCGGCCTCAGAATCCTCGAGGACCTCAAAAACTTACACTTTTCCAAACAAGACATCCAACAAATTCTTTTCCCCGACCTCCCTCCGTGGCACCTCACCAAGGCAAAAGTAGATTTACAGCTGACCACACACAACAAAGAAAGCACAAACACCAAAACTTTTCAAGCAGAATACAAAAAACTAATAGATAAATACCCCGGTGCGGAGCTCATCTTCACGGATGGCTCCAAAAAAGACAATGAAGTGGGCGCCGCAGCCCTATCTCCCAACAATACACACCAGAGGAGACTCCATCCTGAAGCCTCCATTTTCACTGCGGAGGCCACTGCCATTGACATGGCACTGGACTCTGTAGAAAATTCCCCTAACAAATCTTTCCTTATCCTTTCTGACTCTCTGTCTTGCATCACCTCACTCACAAACTACACACTCCTACACCCAAAAATAGTTAGGCTACAACAGAAAATCCATACACTATCCGAAACAGGAAAAAACATCATGTTCGCATGGATACCCAGCCATGTGGGCATCCGAGGAAACGAGCAGGTAGACGACCTGGCGAAGAAAGCTTCATCCCTTCCATTCACACAAACACACATGGACCTGCAAACAAAGTTCCAACAAACACACACACACACACACACATGAACCATTCAAAACATATCTATGCACACATACACCCTAACACACATCCACCCACTCGGATATCCTAAGCACACACCAAAAAATGCACCAATACACTCCCACACTAAGATACAATATATCTACTCCACCCACACACACACACATTCCCGCACAGGTCCTACGAGTGCGTGTGTGAGATAATGAGCCAGCTGATGACGAAGTAGAACATGAACAGTGGGTACATGGCCAGGAGTTTCCTGCCCACCGGCTGACTTTCTGACAGGAAGGCCGTGGATGCTGAGGACGTAAATTGTTAAAATTAAAGAAAGACAACCTCATACCACGAACTTTTAATTAAACAAGATTTTCCTGAAGGGGACAGTTAGATAATAGTCTTGCCTACACAAAATCATCGAGGGTCTTGACATCCTGAATTGCAAATACAGCATAACACGGATAGCTTGAATTCGTCAGGACCGGCCTCGGTAGTTCGAGGGATCCGTAGTCTGAGGGACATCTTACAAAGATAAAGAATTTTTTTAAAAATGGGACCGCAGGCACAGTTCGACGGATGTGTGATTTCGAGTCTTCTGCGTTCGACCTATCCGTGTTATACTGGAAAAGCAACCAACAAGCCATTTCTAACTACCAAGAATGAGAGAGGGGTTAGTAGAGAGAAAAGAGGAAGTATAAAGTGGCGACGCCGAACCATTAGACGGTCTACAATGATAATGCGGTCTACCGTAAGTCACGCCTGAATGACCAGTCTACCTGATGGTCTACCGTGGTAATACTCTTTACCATGAGGCTTGTACATGGTAATCTAAAACTATCACTCCCACACAGTGATGCACTATTTTCAAGAAATCCAAGGAGGCCAGCTATAATTTTCCTGTATAATATGTTATGAGGAAATCTGGGATTGTGGGCAGTAGTGAGTGTGAGGCAACAACGGTCGATCTAGGGGCACAGGGGCGTTCATGTAGCTGTAGTCTTTGGTTGATCTAGGCGGGAATGAATTCAACAAAGCATTCTTTTTCTTAAAGTGCCGAGACTGAACTAGACCTTGACCATGACCATCATGATATACCATCACTTTCTTTGTTCAGATGCCCTAAGAAAAAAAAAATGGTATCATCTTAATATTTACTGGTCTGCCATCTAATCATTCGAAGTATTTTGTATTACAAATACTTCATCGTTCGGCGGCTAGCAAAATTCCCCGAGTATTCTACAAAATCGGTGTCAACTTACCGAATGTAGACCATCCAAATCCCAGGATGACAAACAGGAATCTGACGATGAAGACAGCCACCGAGTCGACGCTGACCGCCAGCAGGATGCGACAGATGACCAGGGCAATGGCCAGTGGAGACACACAGTAGCCCAACACACAGATGCTCTGGAAGAAAGATCTGGAAGAAAAAAGCAAAATTATTGCACAAGTTTCAAAACCCTTGAAAAGCAAGCATTTGAATTAGGTAAGGAGTTTACTAATTAGTGCACCAAAAATTGTATCATTTGTATTGATGGGAAATTCAACTCATTCAATTACAACTAGACAGGATAAGAAAACGTGTGAATTGAATTCGCAACTTTTACGAGCAATGGCAAAAGGCCTCACTGTAAGAGAGAGAGAAAAAAGAAAAAGGGGAGGAGAGCGAGGGAGAGAGGAAGAGAGGGAGTGGGAAAGAGAGAGAAAGAGAGAGATAGAGAGAAAGAGATAGATAGATATCTATATAGAGAGACAAAAAGAAAGAGAAAGAGAGACAGAAATAGAGAGAGAGAGAGAGAGAGAGAGAGAGAGAGAGAGAGAGAGAGAAAGAGAGAGAGAGACAAAGAGAGAAACAGACAGAAGAGAGAACAAAAAGCTCACATGTTCCCCCCCAGCAGCTTGATGTTGAGCGTGACGACAGCGGCGCCCATCCAGTAGATGACAAACACTTCGGCAAACTGCGGCCCCCCGTCGTTGTTCTTCATCTCATCCACTTCCTCTGCGGATCCTTGGAGCATTCTGGTACACAAATGAAGGACACAAAGATCATACGAATCATAGATAGGGTTATCAAACAAATGTACAAGAGGCAACATTTTCAGGCTAAGGCTACACTACCTAAGACATCAATTTATTGGTGGGTAAATAGTTTAGCATACACACAGCAAATGTGCTCATATTGAATAGAATTTCAGGTCCTGAATGTATAAAAATACATTTAAAAAAACAAAAAAACAAAAAAAAAACAAGTACATTGCGAAATTCAAACACAACAAAAAGATTTCCCGCGTTATATTGATTTTTCTCCCCTGGTGGTTTCATCTTAAATCAAATGCCAGTGAAACAAAAAAACAGATTTCTTAACCCAAATGGGTGCTTTACTTTTGACATCAGTACTTCTGGCATAACTTAACTCACTTCAGACGGGTCACACAACAGTTGCGTGACCCCCGCCGCGACGCTCGCGACGGGTCTCACAAGCCCTGCGTGACCAACTTTGGAATTTTTTTTTCGCTCTACAAATCACGCACGGATCGCGAGACCCGCCTCGTACCCTTGTTTGGCCAAGCCTGAGCTACTTAGACTTCGTTTCGTATCTCTGGGGCCGGTAGTTTTTAAGTTATTGAAGGTGAAGGACAGTGACCCCAACTGGAGTTGAACAGACCGGAACTCGCGCTTTGTTTTTTTCTATACAGCTGATAGTAATCCGACAGTCGCGTCGTAGTAACGGTCGAAGAAGTCGCATGAACAAGAATCACATAATTTCGCCGTTTTCTATACTTCTGTACGTTTTACTAGTTCTAGTGTCTCAGAATATGATGTGTCTAATAGTTAGGATCCTGGATATGTACCCGAACACGCCCGAGTCGTAGTTCTAGGGCTAGATCTAGTACTAGTACCGGTGTTGTTTTTCGTGCAACGAAATCACGTCGTGCTGTACATCTGTCTCATGTAATTCAGTGTATGGGTCTGAATCAATGCACAGACCAGCTTTTATATTTTCACCAAACACTCGCACATGTATGCAAATCAAACCAGAACACTTTGAACTTTTATTTTTGTTGTTGCAGTGAATTTCATTCTACTTGTCACGTCCCTGGAAATTTTTCGGAAAATCATTTTCATGCCAATTTTAAAAAAATCATACAAATTAAAGTATTAGACTTAGACAACTTTAGTTTTTTGTATTAGATTAAGCTTGAATGTTACTTTACTGTGTCAAAAAATGATTACAATAGGGTGATTCTGAGAGTTGTGGTGATTTATTGAAATACCCCCAAAAACGCCAGTCTTCAATGCTTGTGACTGGTGAAAGGGCCCAGTCGCAAGTGAGTTAATAGATAGATCTAGCATCTCTTCAGAAATACTTTGAGAGCTCCATAAACAAAAATACTGCACAAATCAAAATTGCTCAAATTAAACCATAACAACGAAAAAATAATTTTAGTAGAGGTTTTACGGCGCTCGCAACTGCATAAGGTCATATGAGCGCCAGAAGATTAGAGGCGTTATAAGAGAGTAACAAACGTAAAAAAGAAGAAGGGGAGATAAGGACGATAGATGTTTGATAGGAAAGGAGGAGCAAAACACACCAGAACACCCGCTAACCACCCATGAACAAATTGAAAGAGAGGAAAAAACCCCCCCCAACTCACATGGCCAGGAAAGTGCAGAGTACGAGAGGTCCCCAGAGATCCCCTGAGGAAAATACAGGACAAAGTTTGGCACAGTCCAACAGAGACAGCTTTCTGTACCAACATTACTCAAACCCTTTTAGATTCGGCTCATTTTAAAACTAAATAAGAAATAAACTGCCAAAGCAAATTTTAAAAAATATATTATATATATCAAGCATTTTTACACTGTAATTAGAATGTTCATAAATTATTATACCCATTATTGTAGACGTACCATGATTTTCTGCTTTGTGTTGCCATATCCTTTTGCAAAAAAGTTAAAAATGAAGCAAAAATCTTCAACAAATAGTATATCAGAATATAGATCCAACTTATAATGAATGCCTCAAATTTTAGAAAGAAAACGTACTGAATTTCATCATCATTATCATCATCACTGTCATCATCACTGTCATCATTGCCTTTCTTACCCTGCTCCAGGGTATAGAGGCCACAAACAAACACTTTCCACCTTTCTCTAACCTGGGCTCTTGGTGTTATTCCAAGTACTGAATTTACAAACAATAATTTAAAGAAACCCCCCCCCCAAAAAAACAACAACCCATTCTTAAAGTACACACTGAAAATGTTGCAATTTCCTAAATCATAGTGAAAGTGCTAGCATGAGAGCAGTTAGAAGAACAATGTTTAAGAACTATCAACAAGAGCCAAATATTTTGACCGATGTAATGATGTAATGGCAGAGACATGCAATCTGAGGGAACAAAATGGTATGATTATGATCCTTACATTCTTTCAGCAGGACTGAGCTTTTCTTGGGGATCAAAACGTGCCAAAACTTGTTCCCCACAGCCCTCAAGTCTCTCAACTGAAACAGAAATTTTAAATTTAATAAAAAATATCACATATGAAGGACCTTCTTACACAGAAATTGGTAATAAGGAATGGGAAACAATAGTAAAGCTCTAGAAAACAAAGAATGTGTTTCATAGAAGGGTTTCATAGCAAAATGCACTACATTACATACATATTGAAAATAAAACCCCTCCAAACACACATGTCACATTAGAGCTAAAGCAGGTGATTGTTCACTTACTATCATAATACAATAGATTTGATTCAGTATCAAACACTAGGTAATAAGAAAGGATGAAATTTGGTGAAACACAAAAAACCAACAAGCCAGCATCTGAACAACAAAAATTTATCTTAGAAATCTTATCTCTATACTTGTTCAGAAATGTTATCTCTATACTTGTTCAGAAATGTTATCTCTATACTTGTTCAGAAATGTTATCTCTATACTTGTTCAGAAATGTTATCTCTATACTTGTTCAGAAATGTTATCTCTATTAATTAAGCCATTTCAATCTGCAACTGTCTGTATGACAGAACACTGGATAGTGCCACATGAGCTCAGTTACAAAAAAAAAACAGACTGAGGAATGTTCTTGTAACACTTTACTTTACTGATTCAGCGGCCATTTGGGTTCCAGCCCTTCGGTCTGTCGATATGGCAAAGAATTTACAGGTTTTAATCAGCTCTGCTTCGTCGCTGTATAGAGCATTTCCGATGTCTGGGGAGGCAGGTAGGTAGGTGTTCTTGTAACACTAACACTTACAATGGTGATTCTGACAGGTTCATCTAGGGTAGAGAGTTCATCGTCTGACTTGGCAGCGCCGGGCACGTCAATGTCTCCCTCAAGAGGGACATCAACCACCTGAGAATTCAAAATTGATTCTTCATATATATATTAGTTTTAGTTTTAGTAACAGTTTTACAGCACTTGCAACACAATCAGGTAAGTGCTGAAGATTAAAGGTGTTTATGAGAGAGTAACAAACATAAAAAAGGAGGAGAGAAAGGACGATTGACATAAGTCTTATATATAGCTTCACAAAACTGGCTCCTATGAAACAGTTCTCACAACCTAACATGACACGTGCCAGATATATCAAACCTACTCTATAGTCTATAAATTTCTATGGAGTTAGGCCAGGACCACTTCTCCCGAAGAGAGCCTAGCAGGGATATAGTTACACGTTTTGCAGCATGCCGGAGGCCTTATTTCATTTTCAATACAAGTTCAAACCCCCTTTCCCCACTCTCACCCAACAAATGCAAAAGAACCACCATAATTGAAAGTATAAAAAGTTTTTAGGGAAATAAAAATAAAATAAGGTAGCCTAAACAACGACTCGCGTGTAGAGTGAAATCAGGTGAATGAAACATAATAATATTATAATAGAGCATAGATGATACAGCAGCTCAGCAGAGCGATGGTATTCACCGGCATTGTAGTCTAATTGTGAGCCTTGCCATCCTTATTGAGGTTGATGAAGGATTCTGAACTGTCAAGTTTTGACATCTCACTTTTCTTTTAATAATTTTAAAGATACAAAATACAATACTAGATCTAGATCTAGATTCTACAACTAGATCTACAATACTAGAATCTGGATCTAGATCTATAACAATGTTTACTTTAAGCCTAAGCAGGCTACTTTTACTTTTTAAGTTTATTTATTTTTTGTGTACTGTTGTACTGTGTGTAGTGTAGGCTCGTCTGGACTTTTATTTTGCGATTATATTACATTCAAAGTCAAAGGAGAACACTTCTCTAAAGTTTCAGAATATTCCTTGAAAACGACCATTTAATCTTTGCTGATCTGACAGGAACAAAACTCAAACCATTCTTGGAAAAAGAGCATGGTGAAAAGTTTACCTCGTCATGGAAATCAACTGTGCCCACGTCAGCCATGTTGTTGATACGACAACATCAGTCAGCGATTGCTTCCCCTGTCAGAAACGAGCAGCACAAATTTGTGTAAAAATCCGCAAACCCTTCCACTGTTTTTCGTGCAGCTATCATAGCTCCTCGGTGAAAAAATAAGCACCGGAAATTCTGGGTGGGAGGACCGAAATACAAAGGCGTGTCTCTCGGGGCTATCATATTTCTGTCGTCATCACTTGGGGGTTCGATCCGTGAGAATACCAGGGATCAGGCAGATATCAACAAGCATGTACTTTCACATCATTCTGGCGGCTGCTTTTCTTTTTGTTGTGTCAGGAGAAGCAGACATACCCGCTGACATGCACAGTAGTACTGCTGCAGGGGGAGAAACAGAAAGCGAAAGTAGCGGCCTTGATTCCGAAAAGAGTGAAGAATCTGTCCCTTCGACGGGTGAAGCAAGCGGTTCTCAAGTGAACCTATCTCCGTTTGAAAAGTGTATCCTTGTGTATTTTAAGACGATCTTAATATTTTTAACTCGAGCTTTAATAGCAAAAGTAATTTACTGTTTGTTTGATAAAATCAGCTTGAGGGCTAATTGATTAATAATTCGATCCTTACTGATTAATTGTTGCTTAGTTATTATGACTGTTGCCCTTACAGTGAGTGATAACTTAAGTAAAGGGAAATTGTTTATTTTGTGAAGAAGGAACACATGTAACAGTTGTACTGCACTTACTTCCTTTTCAAACTCCACTTTTTTTCTGTTTTATATTATGCTTTTTCTGTGTAACAATATATTCAATACAAAATATGCAGAAATCTGAAATGGTCCCCTTCAAAATCATCACGGAGGAAGAACCCTTTGTATGGACTCTACCTAGACTCTAGTACTCAGGTCTTAAAACTACATATTTTTATGCTACAGTGTATTCTACTCCCTTAGCCCTAACGATAGGAAGGCCCTCCATCACCTTGTTGCTAAAATTATTAACGGGCTTTGTCTTTGTCTTAGAGTATGATCATGTTTCAATTTTTTTTCTTTTAAATCCTTAACTCTTCAAAGATAAACGTCTGTTTAATGAACACAGGTCGAGACAGCTGGAAGCTGTGAAATCCATTCTTAATTTTGGAGATGAAAAGCAGAGATATGAACTTATTAATGTGATGTTGAAACAACTCTTCAAGGTAAAACAAAATTGATTTAATACCGTCGAACCTTCTCGAACAGCCACACCTGTATTAGACAAACTCCTGTACGAAGACGACTTCCTATCCCCCCCCCCCCCTTTCATTTTCTTTTATATTACAGTGACGCTGCTGTGTAAAATTGTCATTTACCCCCACTGGACCCCCTTACAAAGATTATACGAGGGGAATTGTTTGAGACGGCCACCCATTGTTGAGGAGAACAGAGGCTGTCTTAAACAATTCCAACTGTATCTTGTAGGAGGGATCCAGGCTTTACTTCAGCAACAAGTGTCTTTTTGAGAACCATCGTCACATTTCACAATTGGACAATATCGACTGTATTTTGTTTTATTCGAACATGGTTTTAAAAGCCACTGTATACAGAACTTGAGTTTGTTCTCCTTGTTGGGTGTGTGTATTGTTCTAATGGTGTTTGCATGGGTGCTGAAGATAGTAAATGAGGTTTCAAATGTACTTGTCTTTTTCATAAAACTGAACTTACTTACCTTGAATCTATTTAGGACTGAGAGTTCTTGCACAGACAAATATTCTAACAAAAATTGTAGTTGCCGTACCTCTAGAATGCCTTCCATCATGTGCAGAAGTGTGTGTTTTCCTTTGCAGAAAGACAATTTTCTCCGTTTGTTATGTTGATGTCAAAGAAAAGTCTTTTTTATTGGACCTCCTAATGAGTGAACGTTCCAGTCAGCACCAGTTGTTGGATGCTTTTTTGAAGTTTAAAGGAAAATGAGAAATTGATGCTATAAAATTATTTGTTTCTCCCATGATATTTATTGGAGTAGTTGCAAGGCTCTTACTCTCTATGAGATCATGTAAAGAGTAGTGTGAAAATTCTTCTTTTCTGAAAAAATATTTTCTGTGATTCCGTGATATTGTTTTGTCTTGTCATTTTTCTGATTAAGATTTATTTGAGGAAGTTTTTAAAAGGACTATCTCTAATTTTAAAAATGTTTGAAATTGTTAAGTCAATGAGATTGTTATTGTCTTTCACAATTTCCAAATTGAGTTAATGATTTTGATATGAACGTGTATAAAAAAATAAATACGCTTAACTCTTTTTCAGACAATCGAGCAGGCTAAGGTAAATCTGACAATGTCTGGATTTCTGCCGGGAGATCCTTTCCCCGAGAATGACACCGTCAGGGATTGTAAGTTGTGTCAGATCACTTTGATAATAATGTATAATGTATTATAGAATGGCTACTACTTAATCCCTGTGTCATTCCCCTTCCCCCCCCCCCAACAGTTACAAAAAGATCCACTGTCTACTGACAGGAAGTACACCCTCTCTAAGATTGTTGTATTGTTTACATCGATGGCAAGGGACCCTCTGAAGTAGGTAGGAAAAGTGGCCAGATGCATAAAAATCAGTTGCACTGCAGGTTGAAAAACCAACAGTTATTTAAAGTTGAGATTTAGCAGTGGAAAGCAAGAGGAAGAAGACTAATTTACAATCTTATTTTATTAACTTCATTTTGGTATTTGGTTTCAGCTCTGTGTTTGTCCGGTGGGTACCATTGCGCGACGCCAGCGCTTTCTTGTTGAATGTCCATTTTTAATAACAGTGAAAATAGTTCATAACAAAGAGTGAGCTTTAGAAAACGAAACGTTTTCACTGTAAAAAAATGGAGATACGACAAGAAAGCACTGAGGTCATGATTGGTAGGTCCTACTTTTTTTCTTTTCCTCTTTTGTTTCTGCCTATCTGTCTTACCTCTTCCTTGTACTATATATGACAGTTATTGTGTTGATGTATTTCTCTTTACTCCAGTGGGTGGTTGGCGGGTGCTCTGGTGTGGTTTCTCCTTCTTTCCTATCAAACGTCTATCGTCCTTATCTCCCCTTCTTCTTTTTTATGTTTGTTACTCTCTTGAAACACCTCTAATCTTCTGGCGCTCATATGACCTTATACAGTTGCGAGCGTCGAAAAACCTCAACTAATCTTTACTCCAACTCAAAACTGAACTAACTGTGTTTGCCCCCCCCCCCCAGATGTGTCGAAAGTGTTGGAGAACACGGCCATGTTTGGCGACATGGTTCTCCGCCTGCCCGACCTGGTTCACGACCTCTACGACCGACAGCGGGAGTGGCAACTGCTGCTAGCCTGGAGCTACGGCTTCTGCACGCAGTCCGGCGCCTTCGAGGGACCCAATGAGCAGCTGCTGCATTTGGTGAGTACCCCGTTTGTATTTGTTTGTAGACCCACCAAATACCTGATAAAATTGGAGGAGCTCTGTAGGTGGTTGGCGGGTGCTCTGGTGTGGTTTGCTCCTTCTTTCCTATCAAACAACTATCGTCTTTATCTCTCCTCCTTCTTTTTTGTGTTTGTTACTCTCTTGTAACACCTCTAATCTTTGGCACTTATATGACGTTATTTTGTTGCAAGTGCCGTAAAACTCTTACTAAAACTTAACTAAAATATCGGAGCTCTCTTATGTTTTTTTTACCATTGAAGAGCTCTGATAAGATTTTTGTACAATCTGAATTTTTTTCTTGAATTCGGCTTCTGTCAGGTCATATGTGAGGTATATATATGCTGTCTAGTATATGGGTGGTGAACATGCACATAGAGAGTAGATGTTCAAATTCCAAATTTTTTCTTTCATGTATATTTTTAAAATTTAAAACATGTAAATTGGCCTACATTGTTCTTATCAAAAATATTTCTGCTTCCTGCTGGGGAAAGAAAGTGGAGATGAAAGCTGATGACAGATTATGTTTAGCTGTCAGGTTTTGAACCTGGGATCTATTGAATGAGAAGTGAAGACCTTACCTCTTGATCACGAGAGCCCCCGAAGCGGCCCTCATTTCATCATGCAACGCGATACTTCTTTTGATTTCTGACGTCCAGTGGTTGGGTGACTGGGGATGAGGGCTCTTGAACTTCCCTGTCAAGCTTTGTGATTTTCAGAACGGAGAACTTGGTCAGAACGGAGAACTTGTTTCTAATCTGAGACATGATTTTTCAAGTTTTTGTTTTTTTGTCTCTACAGATGGCTCAGGAAGTGGGCATTATAGCAATGGATCCAAATTATGTGAACCCCTTTAAAGCTGCAAATCAAAAGGTAAAGTGAAAATGTGTCTCACTGCCAAATAAATTGTATGCATAAAAAAAAAATTGTTTTCTCTTGTTTATTTAGAGTGGGGGTGTGATATGTTTGCAACTCTGATCTCTGGTAATTTTTGTAAAAACTGAAAATGTGTTGTGTGTCTTTTATGCAGGAAGCCTGTCAATTTTTCCATGACAGTTGAACGTAATATAGATGTTACTTTATATATATGTATTTACCGTTTTACCAATTGTTGGCATTTTACATAATATATTTATCATACTTTTATTGATATTTAAAAAAACATTTTTGTCTTTGACCTCTGTTGCAAAGGAACTGGATTTGAATCCTTATAAGGCCTTTTCCGCCATACTGTTGTTCTTTTTAGTTTCTTTTCCCAAGCTCCTGATGTTTTTTATTCAGAGATAGGAACTGGACAAGTTCTTTGATCTTTCCTGTGAGATGACCTGTATTGTGATGCCTTGTTTAAGGTTATTTAACACAAACAAACAAACAAACAAACAAACAAACAAACAAACAAAAGAACAGGTTGATTGCCGATGTTGGTTTTATGGAGATAAGTCTTCACTCCCTATTACTTTACTCACTGAATGTAAAAACGTCTTTGTCTGTAAAACTTTGTCTGTCTTTCTGCTGTCCTTAACTCTATATGTTCCCCTGTCATGCACCCTCATCAAAAGTGGCACATCAAAGACTCAACGGCAGTGACATGTCTCTTTTTAATCATTTCGAAATGCTTTTGATAACCCTTGAGGCATTTTTATATTATAATCATCCTAATGGATCAATTTCTTTTTATATATATCGTCAGCAAGCTGTTAAAATGTTCTATCCCTGAAAGCAAAATTTTATAGGAGAGAGAAAAAAATTGTTTAATTCTTTTTACATTTATAATTACGTTATGTACTTTTTCGTACTCTTTTTAACTTAAAGAATGTGAATTTTGACAAAATATTTCTTGAACACACGCAGAAATACCACAAATGAAGAAATTGCAATGAGAAAAAAATAAAAATTTTATGGGCGGCTTGGTATAGTTTAAAAAATTGTGAAATCCCATCTATAGAAATGTTTGTGAATGTCTGTTTGCTTTTTATTTGCAGAAGAAACGATATGAGGAGCCGGCCAAACCTGCGAAGAAAAAGCAGAAGAAAATAAGACGAGGCCCAAGGTTGAGCCACTCAGAGTTGTAGCCGAGTGATGGGGGGGGCGACGAAGTGTTGAGATGGATGTTTTCCTGTGCTTTTGTCGACTGTGCGACTGTTTGTGTGTTTTACTTACTGCATGTGAAATCTTGGGGGGGAAAAGTAGTGGACCATGTTTTTCATATGAAAAAGTTTTCCACACGTTGATCCCAGCACGTCTGAACTGCACCTGTCTCAAATGTTTTGAAGTATACTATATTCTATATCATATATGTAATATATGCGCTCCCTTGTTACGTAAAGCCAAATTCCTGTTCAGTTATTATTGCATCCTTGATTTTTAGCTTACTGAAGATTGTACATATATATATTTGTTCTTTGAGTGTTGCTGAATTATTTTCGGAGAGTTCATGAAAGATAACGGTTAACTGATATAATATGTGTACGTGAGTTGTATTGAGTTTCTTTTCATCTGATTGTTGACGATTTTATAGTGCTTTTCCCCATAGTTCTTTCTTATATGTATGTATATATACAGGTGGGCCATTTGCTTGTGGTCACATTATTAATTATCGATGGCTTTGTTGATTGATTATTACTTCCTTGTGGCGGGATGTACTGACTAAGCTATGAGTGAGCCATACTTGTTTTTCCTTCTGTTGTGTAAATTTCTCTGTGCCCTCCTGCCTTTTTTTTCTTTTTTTTTCTTTCTTTTTGGTGGCGTCGGTAGCCTAGTGGTTAGGCTACCGGACTCGTAATCGTGAGATAGCGGGTTCGGGGGTTCGAGCCTCAGCTCGGTCCGACGTTGTGTCCTTGGGAATGGCACTTTACACGAACTTCCCACATGGCTCGGTCCCATCGGAGACGGACGTTAAATTAGGAGGTCCCCGCCTTTTAAATAACCTAATAGTCTTGATAGGGGCGTTAAACTCATACCATTTTTTTCCTGCCCTTTTCCCAGCCTGTGAGATGGTTGTTTCCCCCTGGGGCAGTGCCACTGACTGTAGTGTCTTTAGGCCATTCCCAAAGAGGGGACATTTCTCTTTCAAGCTCAGTAGAGTTGTACTAAATGGGCTGATTTTCATGTCACGCTCATAACTGTGCCTGATCTACAATAGGGAACTGCTGCTTTTTCTTTCCTCATTCTTACCATGGTCATTATCCTCTACTTCTTTTGTATGTTTGTCGCTCTCTTGTGACCTGCTATTTCCGGGGTGCCTTGATAGTCGAGCAGACCTTGTGCTGTTGAAGCTAGAGAGGTGAGGAGAGTAAGTCTGATTCCCTGTAAAGACTTTTCTGTTGACGCCCACCCCTTGGCGCTCATATGACCTTATGCAGTTGCGAGCGCCGTAAAACCCTCTACTATAATAAAAAAATAAATGAGATGATTGTTGTTTGAGAGGGACGTGAAGCAAACAGCAGTTGTTGTTGCTGTAATTTGGACTTGACCTTGACTTTAAGGACAACTGAACTCCTTGCCCAAGCGAAGGCTGCCTCTTTTAAATAACTTAACAGTGTTGCAAGGGGCGATGAATCGATACAATTTGCGATTTTTTGCAGTTGTTGCATAATAATATAAGACAGGTCCCTCGACAGTAACACACAGCCTTAATATACTCATGGTAGGGACAGGTTTTTTTCGGATCTCACTTTCCTTTTTGCTGAACAGTGAATGGAGATTGCAGGAGAGAGACAAGTCACTTTGTTCACAAATGTGAGACGTGCTGACAAAATGAGTTATTTCTTGCACTCAAAGAATTGAGATATTGGCCGAAAATCAACACAAGAGTCAAAATTTATACAATTTCAGTTGATCCTATTTTGTTCGAGTCAACCGTGTCTTTTATTATTACGGACTTACAAATTGTACAAACTCCACCTATGAAGTTTATGTATCAATTTCCGTAAGGCTAAAATCCGAGAAGTAACTCATTTTGTCAGCACACCTCACATATTATATTTAGAAAGTAGACGTTGTTCTCTCCACCATTTGAGTTGGTCTCCTGAGCTTACATCTCCCGAGCGTCTTTACGTCGGCTGCTAGACTGACACAACACGCTGCGGAGTGCACAGGATGCACAGCGGGGTACAGGCAACACAGATTAAGGTGTGCGCTCGGGATCATAGAATTACTCAGTAAACAGTTCAAGTCTTTCTGGAACTGAGAGACGGATCTGTTACTTTAGTTTGGCCATGGAGAGAACGAGAAATGTGAAAACTGTAACTCAACTTTCAGAAAGAAAGCAAAACCAGTAGGCTATTTAATGGGTGGTTGGCGGGAGCTCTGGTGTGGTTTGCTCCTTCTTTCCTATCAAACATCTATCGTCCTTGTCTCTCCTCTTTTTTTTTGTGTATGTTACTCTCTTGTAACACCTGCTGTAATCTCTGGCACTTATATGACCTCATTGTGTTAATAATAATAAATTACATTTATATAGCGCTCAACCCCGAATAAAGTACACTGGCTCTGAGTGCTTTACAATACAGTACAACATACAACTGTAACATAAAACATTGTGTTCTGACTAAAGAAAATTATTCCAAATACTCATCTTATTAATTTAAAAACGGAAACGACTTCAGCTGACATTTGAATGAATCAAAAGATTTGATCTCTCTCAAAGTACTTGGTAAAGCATTCCAGATCTTGGCGCTTTGGTATTCAAATGCCCTTTCACCAATTGTTTTAAGTTTCATAGATGGTAAAATAAATTTCTTTTTGTCAGCTGATAACCTTAAACTGCGAGTTGGAATGTACAGTCTTAACAGATTTAATAAATATATGTGAAGCGTGCTTACAAAATGAGTAGCTTCTTGGATTCGAGCCCAATGGAAATAGGTATACCACGCTTAAAGGTGACATTTTTACTATTTTTAAGTATGAAAAAGTAAAAGGCGTTTTATACTTAGAGAATATGGCATCAATAGAAAATCTACAAATTTGGCCCTAGTGTCGATTTCTGGCCAATATCTCCATCTGCTGAATGCGAGAAGTAACTCATTTTGTCAGCACGCCTCACATATGGTGATTTTGATGTGTATGATAGGGTGTTGCAAGTGCCGTGTAACTATCACAAAAACTTGTTTTTTTTTGTATTTCTTCTAGTTTCTTTCTGAAACCCACCGTACCAGGTTATTGTTGTTGACTATTCAAGTTTGATTTTGTTGCCTTGAAATTTAGCAAGATGTTTTTTTTGTTGAAGCTGCGGTGGCGGTACGGCCTACTGCCCAGCTTTGGGATGCTCGTTTTGTGCCTTTGTTCCAAAGTTTGCCTTTTCTCATGTCTTCTTGCATAAGCTTTCTCAACAACTCTGCTGACGGGGGGAAACTATTGGTGAAACTATGCACGAGTGGGTGGTAGGCGGGTGCTCTGGTGTGGTTTGCTTTTTCTTTCCTGTCAAAGATCTATCGTCCTTATCTCCCCTTTTTCTTTTTTATGTTTGTTACTCTCTTGTAACACCTCTAATCTTCTGGCGCTCATATGACCTTTTATGCAGTTGCGAGTGCCGTAAAACCTCTACTAAAGCTAAAGCTAAACTATGCACGGTTCCTTTTTTACTGCTAGTAGTGTTGTGTAGTGGTTGTAGTGGTTGTCAGTCAATGAACATTGTCTGTCCAGTTCTGTAAGTGGTCAATTTTTTCCCTTGACATGAAAATGACTACAGTGAACTTTGATCGTACATGTCTTTTGTGTGTAAGAGAGACGACAGATCGTGTAAACTTCAATATCTCCACTGCGCTAGCAAAATGGCCTAACTCCGAGTTGTGCCAAAATGGAACTAGCCTTCTATTTTGTTTGGTGGTACTACATGTGTGTCCATCTTATGGTAAAACCAAAACAAAAATGCGGTGGCAGTTACAATAGAAACACGCATGACAAGTTTTACCTGGAAGTATTATTAGATGATAAATAATCTAGATTCTACTTCAAACATTTTTTTTTCATTTATCTCAAAAGTAGCAAAAACTGAGTTGTGCCATTTTACTTGCGCAGTGACGATATCTTGCCATCAAAGAGTGTTGCTGTAATTTGCTATCTATTATTAACATGACGTGTTTCTGTGCAATACATTTTGTGTTATCTTTGTGGGTTTGTTGCAAAAGCAGTAGTGGTGGTAAGACACTGGTGTGTTTATTGGCCTGACCAGACCAGAGATGTTGCCTGGATACCACTGTACCTCATGATGGGCAGATGAGCGAGGTTTTATTTACTCTGAAACACGAGGCATCGTGGTGAAATCAGGCGGTCAAAATACATGTAATGAAATAGAAAAAAACAACATTTTTTTCCTACCTGTTTGGCAGTTTTCATCTTTTTTTTTCTTTGCCTCAACCCATTTTATGTCCAAAAACACATTTTTTTGGTAGATTTTTCTGAAAATACGTTGATGCAAGGCACAAAAAAAAATTAAAGTTGCAGTTTGCAAGAACACTGAAGCTTTGGGAGTCATCAAGATTTGGCGATCACTTTCTCACTAATTCTACCTCTCCACCAAGCGATCCCCACCTCTTTCAATTACAAATAGATCAATCTCAATTTCTATTCAAGTTTGGTGGGGGTTTTTTTGTGGTAAAAAAGAAAAGAAAATGAAGAAGCTTTAAGATGATACCAACAACTCCATATGATGCCCAAAACTTGACAAGCGCCTGTTTCCACCATATTGTGGCACAAACTGTCCATGAGTTTTTATCTCTTTTCCGTTGAGCGAGCTCACCCAAGCCTTGCATCCTGCTGAAGTCAAAAGTGTGCTCTCTCTCTCCTTGAAATGTTGTTAAAAATGTATCAGTACTATCAGACTCCAACAAAACAAAACCAAATAAAAAATACGTGTTCTTTCACACATGACTGGGGTGTTTACATGAGTTTTATTTCAAAGTATTGTAACACTACATGTCCAAGCACAAATGCACAATATCTTTGCTACATCAAACAAAATGAAAAACTTCCTGCGTCCTGATGGCCATCGCTATTCCTGTGAACTACAACGACACAAGACACCACATTGTGCTGCAGGGTCCACGTTACAGGTGCTCCCTGAGGCAGCCAGTGACAAAAGATTCACTACATGTACTTGGCACTAAGGAACATAGTCCTCTACAAAAGTTCTGTGTACAAAAACTTGTGTAAATTATATTATGAAAAATAATTAACTTGAAAAATTATAGCCTACTTACTAGAACAATAAATTAATTCCTTATAGGATTATAATACTTGTTTTACTAAAAAATAGAAATGTTCTTTACTGATTACAAATTATAATTTTACTAAAATAATAAGTTAACTCCTGACAAGAAGACACTAATTCTAGATCTATTAAAAGTTGAAATGTACTTCAATGATTACATGCTCGACAGCAGGATATAATGCTGTTCAATTTTTAAAAAAGTATCTCAAAGTTCAACTGTTGTAGAGGTGATGAATTATTTGGCATTAAAAATTGTAAAAAAGTGTAAAGAGAAATATTTTTTGCGGCCCAGCGTGACAAATGAGTCATTTGGCACCAAGAAATTGTTTTTTAAAAAAAATGATAAAATATTTATCGGCCCTGAAAATGTGTAAAATTTGGTCATT